GATTGATTGATTGATTATATACCCATTTTTTATCGACTTCGGTCAGTCGCGTCAGGTGCTCCAACCACTTAACTATCCAGGCCGATATCCACGGTCCGAAGCCCGAACTTCTACATTCCTCCCTCCTTAAACAGTCTTCGACCTCGAAGACACAAGTTCTACGGCCCTGCTAGAAAGGAGATGGGTGAAGAAGGCGTGTAGAATGCCTATAGCTTTAGATATGTAAAATTCTTATTCAATTCGTGAATTTAGAGTTTAGAGTAAAGTTCTCATTATTGAAATTTATGAAATTATGATAAAAAAAACTTTTTGAGGAAAAATTTTTCGGCAAAAATTATTCTGTTGTTCAAAAATTATGTGGTATTCGTGGAGTTCGAACCCTATCAATAAAAATCCTGAGTATCGTTTTCCTTTTAGACTAAGGCGCTAACCACTACGCTACACATCTTTTGATGAACAGTGGCATATAAATCATGTTTGTGATATGACCCTTGACTAACTGGATTTTAAGTATTTCTCTGAAATATGCAAATGTTCTGTCATAAAGTTGTATTTTTAACGTAAAGTGGGTCTATGCTCCATGTTTTTGTTTCCCAATAAATGTATATTTTTACGCAAACTTTGAGGATAAACTTTCAAGAAAATGGAGCAAAGACACATTTTTTATAGTATGAGAAAATGATCCTTTTGCCCTTTTTAGTTTCTGTATGCTATTCCATAGCAAATAATTTCTATTTTTGTGAGAATTTTGCAAATTGTGGAGATTTTACATAAAGTATACTTTAATGTTAGATGAAATGTCAAAGAAAATTTAGTTATAAATGAAATTAGTTTTCATGTTTGTCGCACTATATGCACTTCGCCCGCCTTGTTCGTCCATCTTCTTAGTAATTTACACATACACTGTAATCCGAACAAGGCCCCCATACTGGCCACCAAATATAGTAGGAAAGGAGAAATGCATGAAGAAAACATATGGCTGGACCGGTAATCGAACCCGGGATCCCTGCATTACTAGTCAGGTGCTCTAACCACTGAGCTATCCAGGCCAATATCCATGGTCCGTAAAGCCCGAACTTCTACATAAAATAACATAATTCATTCATAATTATTAAAGTCATGAAACAGTTTATATTAAACTATTTAAGGACGGTTAAAAAATCTTGATGAAATGTTTTTCTTTTTCCCGTCTTTCTACAAGATTTTCCGTGTAGAGTTTATAAAAGGATAAACTGAGAATTGTCCTTGTCCACAAACAGCAGGATGATCACCGAGTTTTATTTTCTGTACTCGAGTTGGTTGATATGTTGCCTATATGTACGAGTGCGTAGTGTGGTCCCCGTTTTTCCTATCGTGTATAATTGTCCGCATCCAGCGCATGTAATACATTAAATTACTTTTTTTAGATGCACAGGACATACCTGCATTGATAGTAAATTCTCTATTTCCGAATATAAAAGTACTCCCCTCTTTAATATACTGACAGGTTCCATAACGACATCAGGGCATTTATAGACCAAATATGAATTCCGTTGGTGAAATGAAGGTTTACACAGTATCCTTCGGTTTTTTTTTAGGTTGTCTTTAAATGTTGATGAATTTAGATTTTTCCAGAACTTTGGGCATTTTCTCATCAGTTTGTTGAATGTTGTTGAGGTGACGCCCAGTTGGGGTAATATTTCTGTTCTTTGGATTGAAGTAGTTACGAGCGGTAATACTGCGTAATCTGTGTCACTTTTTGAATAAATGATATTTTTCTCTGTCGATTTCTATAGCTTTTTTCATTCCGTCCTTTATGATTCCCAGAGGATAGCATTGTTCAAGGAAGTACCTTTTCAATTCATTCAGACGTTCTTTTCTTCTTTCCTTGTTGCTAACAATAATAGTGCAGATTCTTCTAGCTGAGTTATAAGGGATCGATCGAACGTTTCGTATAGCTTGGTTGACAGGAACTGAAATGGAGGTATGGATGTGTGTCTGTCGGTTTGTAGCAGACCCCTGAGGCCTCACATGTATGAATTTTCAGTTACATTAAAATAATTTTATAGATGTGTGTAAAACATATTAAACTTACTTCAGTTCTAGTTTATAAGTTGTTTTTTTTTTTGTAGCAGCTGTTTCCACTGATCGACATTGATGTTATGTTGATGCAGACAATAGTAATATTTACTGTAATGAAGGAGAAAGTTCAGGAGTACTGTACGACTGTATATTCGAGAAGTGGTGTAAATTAGATGTGGACACTTAAAACTCCAAAGAACTTTTGGAAAATTTGAAATCACAAAATTTTACTAAAATCAATAGCATCAAAACGTACGGCTTTTTAACACTTTATACAACCATTCCCCACGATAAGTTGAAATCCAGGCTTTTTGTCATCATAGACAGCTGCTTTTTCAATAAAAAAGAAACTCGTAAATAAACTTACCTTGTCATTGGTCATTTACAAAATTATTTTGTTAAAAAGCACTCATTGTACACACACAAGTACTCTGAAGTTGATATTAAAAAGATGCTTGAGTTTCTGATTGACAATTTGGAGATCTGACCCCACCGCCATAAAACTTTAAGAATTCTCAAGAAAATTCTCTCGTCTTGAGAATTACTCAGCTAAGAATATTCTTATATTCACTGCCATAAAACAATTTGAGAATATTCTCAGCTGAGTAATTCTCAAGACTTGAGTTGAGAGTTTTCTCAAGTTTTTAGCTCACCTGAGCTGAAAGCTCAAGTAAGCTTTTCTGATCCGTCTGTCTGTCCATCCGTCCGTCTGTAAACTTTTCACATTTTCAACTTCTTTTCAAGAACCACTGGACCAATTTTAACCAAACTTGGTATAAAGTATTCTTGGATGAAGGGGAGTTTAAATTATAAAAATAAAGGGCCAAATCCCCTTACAAGGGGAGATATTCAAGAAAAGACAAAAATAGGGTGGGGTCATTAAAAAATCTTCTCAAGAACCACTGGGCCAGAAAAGCTGAAACTTATACGGAAGCATCCTGGGGTAGTGTAGATTCTAAATTGTTCAAATCATGACCCCCGGGGATAGGGCGGGGCCACAATAGGGAATACAAGTTTTACATTGAAATATATAGCAAAAATCTTTAAAAATCTTCTTCTCAAGAACCACTGAGCCAGAAAAGCTGAAACTTATGTGGAAGCATCCTTGGGTAGTGTAGATTCTAAAATGTTCAAACAATGACCCCGGGGGTAGGGCGGGGCCACAATAGGGAATCCCAAGTTTTACATTGAAATATAAAGGAAAAATCTTCTCAAGAACCACTGGACCAGAAAAACTGAAACTTATGTGGAAGCATCCTTGGGTAGTGTAGATTCTAAATTGTTCAAATCCTGGCCCTGGGGGGTAGGGCGGGGCCACAATAGATATTACAAGGGGGGAGTCTGGTAATGAACAGCATGGCCAAAGTTACTCAGGTGAGCGATGTGGCCCATGGGCCTCTTGTTTTTCTCGCGACTGTTTCCGCGGATTTTTTTTTCGCGGATTGAAGCGGCCCGGAGGAGCTCTTTTTTGTTAAAAGGTTAGAAACCACACTGGTTACATGTTAAAAAAAAAAATTCACATTATTTTTGTCGTCTGCATTATTTATTGAACATCATGGATGCAGAGGTTGTCATAGAGAAAACGAAGGGCGCAAAATTGGGGGGTGGATGAGGAAGTTGCACTTATTGAGGAAGTAAAATCTCGAACATCAGTTTTATTTGGGTCGTTTAAGGGGAGTGGGAAGAAAGGAAAGGAAAAAGAAATCAAAGAAAAAGAATGGCAATCAATTGTGGACAAACTCAACTCGTACGTAGTTTAAGCAAAGTATCACACATTCTCAATAGCCTCATTTATCATGATTCTGAAAGTATTTAGGAAAATATTAATTGTGAATCAGATGATCCTTTTTATCGATATAATACAAATTGCTCGTCATTTACGAAGGTTTAGACGGTTTGCTATCAAATTTCTAATTTCATATTATAGCCCCCGAGTGTGATGATGGAGAAAGCACGTACATCTACCATATCTTTCTTTCTTTTTTTGAAAAAATAAAAATTCGCGTCAACTACAATTCAAGTGATACTAGAAAAGACCTCAATATATGAAAGTCGCTTTTGTTAGGTATGCTTTTGATCGGTAGGCTAAACATTATGCTTTGTTCCAACATATGTGCTATTTGTTTTGAAATACATGTAAATGCGACAATTTGTAAATTTAAAGTAGGCGTATATTAAATTGGCATGCAAGATAACCAAACTTTTTGGCTTATGTATACACTCAAGGGATCGGAACTGCAATATTTCTATAAATAGATCCACGCGCATACGAGTGAAAAATGTTGGATCTAATTCTTGTTCAGGTGTAACATATATTGTAGACGGTACAATTTCCCATAATTTTCAGACAATTGGCCACAAAGAAGCGTGGATTGGAAGAAATAAAGAAAAAAAAATTACAATATCAAATCAAGAAGTAAGTTTAAGTTAAAACGAAAGGAAGTAAAATTTTACTGTCACAAAATTTTGATTTGCTTAATAAGATTTTTATATTTATCAAATAAATACTCAACTCATACTGATATATTTAACTGTTTAGAGAGAGGAACTAGTGTATTATTAGAATTTGTTTCCAAGCCTTCTAATTTGTTCAGTAAAATATGTCCAGAACAACAAAACAAAACTGTCATCTCTTAATCTCTGGATATAAATTCATTTTGACTCTCTAATGTCTTGTGTTATTATTAATTGTTTTTTAAATTAAATAAAATTAGATTGTCATTATGTATAATAATGAACCATGTAAAATGTGTTCATACAGGCAAAGAGAAGTTGGACAGTGCCAAAAGGCCCAAGACTGAAGGAGGCCCTCCCTAACCCCCACTTACTGCAGAAGAGACATTCTTGAGGTTATCTGAGAGTGAACCAAGTGTTCGTGGTGCGGAGGGAGAAATTGATACAGATGGTAAAAACATTTAAAATAGTATTAGATTGTTTGACTCAGAAGTGAATGAGAGCCAGCTGCAGTCTGCACAACAAGGTATTTTACAAGTGTAGCACAGAACTGTACTTGTGTGATGTAAAAATTAGTTCTCCCTTATAATTAAACAGAGTTTTAATACATGTATATTAACTGTAATTCCAACTTTTCACACAAGCATTCTAATGTTATTAACTTTTAGTGTATTAGTATTATTTGTCTTATTTAATTTACTGATTTGCTTGCATCATCTCAGTCTTTGCCAATGAATGAAAAACTGATGAACAGAATTTATTGTAGGTTCACAATGTCAAGAACAGACATCAAATGGAAAAGATACATTAAGTTCAGTTGATCATGGTACATAATTATATATGTACATTTAATTTCTATCCAATGTCATTTTTGAAAATGATAATCACATACTTTTGAATACAAATATCAGAGTGACTTCACTTTAAATGAGAGTGTTATCATTTCTCAATCTCTTTGTTTAAGTTCTTAGGATGGTTCAAAATGTAAAGAGAAAAGAGAAGACAGATTGGTTCAGTTAATTACATTTAATGGTACATGCTAATGTAGACTCATGAAATCCCTTGACATACTACTGTTTTTCTTTCCAAGTTACAATTTTAGAAAAAGTAAACATTGTGGATATCTGCATAAATAACAAAGTCATACAAATCATAAAATGACCCCCTCATGTTTTCAGCAATGTAAAAGGGAAAAATTACTTATATTTGTATATGGCTAATTATTTAATATCTTCTTTGCCTGTATGAAAATAATAGATATCAAAGTACAACTTCTCAAAATTAAAAAAAAAAAATACATGGATGTTAAATTTTAAATAAAAAAAAAAATGAACAAATTAAAATGAAAAAAAGCAGTTAAATTAAATTACAGGTGAAGCCAAAAGGAGAAAATTGGAGGAGCTGGAAGAGAGAAATTTAATATTGGAGAATCAACGACTTGAGGAAGATGTACTCAAGATAAAAGAAGAGAGAGAAGTTCTTGCTCTTAAAATGGAAGTCCTAGTATTAAAAAAGCAAAAACTGTTATGTGAAATTCAGTCATCTTATCCAGATTTTATGACAGTACTATCATCTGAATTATAATCATTTTAGTTTTGCAATTCATTAATGATTATTATAATACATGTATGAGAGAGAGAGTCAATATGCATAGACTAATATACAGTTGTAGTTACATTTCATAAAACATATTAATAAACTGACTGCCTCTGACTAAAAGTGTTTATATTTCACAAATTTTAGAAAATCAAAATAAATAAATAAATAAATAAAATTTCATAAAAAAAATAAATTAAAACAAAAAAGGAAATAGAGAAACTAGAACTACATCCTCACTGAAAATTTAATCAAATATAAAAAAAATCCATTGGTGATGGCTGTTCTCTTCAAAACACCATCTCTCCTGTCCTGATGACCAGGGGCCTGTTTTACAAAAGAACTTACGACTAAGACCAAAATTTAATTCTACTTATAACTTTTTAATTTACAATATATTGAAAATGATTTTAATCTTTTTAAAAGGAATGTAGTAAGATATTTTTAAGCTAACAATTTTAAACAGAATAATTAATTTTGCAAAATTTTACAATCAACTTAAGTTTTTGGTCTAAGTCGTAAGTTCTTTTATAAAACGGGTCCCAGTGTCTTCAATGGCTTGTTGCAAGCAGTGCCTCACATCAATGTCTGCACAGTCTTCTTGAATAAAGATATCACCTCTTTCAATGCCAATATTGTGAAGGGTCACACAGGCTACTATGTATGTGATGGCTCCTCTGATACTGCTCTTGGAGCAAGGTAGAGGGTCATCAAATACTTTGTGAGGGGATAACGAGAGTCACCAAGTAAAATCCCATCACACACACATATTTAAAAATATTTCCTTCTTTTGTATAAAGTACATATATAGAATGAGATTATTTACAGTGTAGTGGGTGATGGTAAAGTGTTGAATTTTCTTTCAAATGTTATGTTTACCCGTTTCAAATTTTTGACAGAGGCTTGATGTCCTCCAAATCCTCGAGTCATGGCAGGAGCCTGGCCAACCAGCATATAGTGATGTCATTCTAAAATTTGGATCACAAACCATCTATAAATTAAAAAGATTGGGTTCAGTGACAAATCATGACATAGAATATGTCCAATGTTCAAATCAACTTTTTTCACGAATAAAAAAAAATTGTGGATCACCTGTACTTTCAGACTGTGGAACCCTTTCCTGTTAACATAATCCACTTCATTTTCATGCTGTGTACTGAGTCTTATCTGAGTAAAGTCAATGCAACCTATCACATTCGGAAAACCTGCAAAGTCAAATTCATATTACAATATATACACTGTATATGTTACCGTACAATGTTTTTGAATTATGGTTATTAAAATAGATTATTAAAAAAGTAAGGTAGAATGCATATTATCCTTCTTTTCACAAATCCCTCCTTAATAAATGACGCTAACCATTATTTTTGTAAACCTTATATCAATCAATTACTACATGTAGGCCTTGATCTCTCCTTTATTTTTCTCAGACCTTACTTGCATTTGATTAATTATCTAACCAGGCTAAGCCCCTCCCACTTCATAAACTTCATGATTTATTTCTCCGTTTCTTTTATTTGTTATTATTATTATTAATCTACTGTTGTTGTTTTTTATTACACCCCAATTTTAATGCCTTTCTCCTCCCCCCTTCCACCTTTTAATTTTTGAATGATAGATACTGCCTTTTTTAATATTGTTTTTTGTTCTTTCAAGAAATAAAATCAAGGTATGTTTACATTATGCTATTCCAAACAAAGGGAAAGTGATGTATTTTTTTATATTAGTACTGTAATACCGATGGATTCGCCCGCAATTCTTTCGCATGCAGTATTCCCCCTTAAGTTGGAACTGTCATTACACAGAAAACCAGTAAAAAAAAGAACGCCGGAACTTTTCGCACACACTGTGTACAATTTCTGGGATAAAACTAATATTGTATCGTGAGAAATCACATGGAAAGTTGACATCATGAAGCAGAACTTAATCAAGTAAGTTTTTAAATACTGACAAGTGGCGCTAACGTTTGATCCGAGTGAAAGTGAGGAAATTTTTAAAGACAAATTATATTGGAACGTAGTCTAGTGTTTGGAATTCATATACTAGTACCTGCTACTCTTCTGAAACCTTCTTTCACTTTTGCTATTTCACCGACAGGAAAAGTGATGTTAAGTCTGGCAAAAACAGCGACTATAGCTGAGGCAACTGCCTTGACAGATTTACAGACGGACGACTCTGAAATGCCAAGACTGTCTCCAAACAGACGGAGATTGGCCCCTGTCGCCACAAATCGTAGGAACAGCAAAACTTGGAGGAGAGGAGAAATGGGCTTGTTCCTGTTGGTGTCAGTTGTCAGTTCCCTATGAAGTCCATTGACCAAAAAGTGTATTGTGGCTGGTCGGAATCGATACCGCTGGAAAATATCCTCCTCCTCCAGCATCTCCAGTGGGTTGCCTCTGTCCCTAAATACCCTTGGTCGTGGTAAACCAACACGTCGTCTGTGGTTCCTTCTTAATTTTCTATGCACAGTGGCCATTTTGTTTGTTTGAGAATATTCTTAAGCAACCTTTTGAGCATTCTCAAATATTTGAGAATAAAACAGAGTTTGAGAATTTTTTGTTACTCAAATTTTTTATGGCGGTGGCTGAGTCTGAGAATTCAGGACTTGAGAAAATTCTGACTTGAGAACATTCTCAGACTTAAATATGTTTTATGGCGGTGGGGCCGGGTCTTCCAACAATCTGCTGGAATTCCCATCGGTACCAAATGCACCCCCTTGTTAGCAGACATATTTTTGCATTCTTATAAAGCAGAGTTTATTCAAAAACTTCTACACGAGAAGAAAACAATTGCTATTACTTCGATATATCGACGACGTATTATCAATTAACAATAGTTAATTTCATTTATATGTCGACTCAATATATCCCTGTGAGCTTGAAATTAAAGATACCACAGACTCTGACACATCTGTTTCATATTTAGATATTTTACTTGAAAAAGACGTAAATGGTTACCTAACAACAAAGCTTTATGACAAACGTGACGACTTCAACTTTTCAATCGTCAGTTGAAAATTTTCAAACTTCCCTTACTTATGTAGCAATATACCTTATCACCTGCATATGGGTTTTATGTCTCTCAGTTGATTCGATACGCAAGAGCATGCTCTACACGTAAAAACAATTTCTTAAACGAGGCAAGCTATTGACAAACAAATTGATGAAACAAGGATATCAACAGTCTCGTTTGAAGTCATCTTTTTGCAAGTTTTTCGGTCGATACAATGACCTTGTCAGCACATACAACCTATCGTTGAGTCCATTGCTGACTGACGTTTTTTCATACTAATTGTTAGGCCATTATTTATACACTGAACTGTCTACGGAATTTTTGTCTCCTGACAAGGAGCACACGGCGGGTGTGACCGGTCGGCAGGGGATGCTCACTCCTCCATGGCACTTAATCCCCACCTCTAAATTTTTAGGCCTGTGTTTGCTATGCTCCAAAGGATGACTGAACTTAAGGCCGGGTTTTGGGTCTTTTTCGGTCGCTTCTGTTGCTTTTATATCATAATCTTATTTCATTTTTATATATTTATGAAAGATTCCTGTCAATTTCGAGTCGAATTTAAATATTAAAATGATCTTACACTATGATACAATAAAATGATTCTATATTTTCTGTCCCTACTCTTTCCAAATATAGAGAATTTACACTTACCTGCCCTTGATTAAACATTAGGTATGCATGAGAGGTGGGGCTAATATTGTAAGAATGGGTCTAAAATTAGACTAAATTAATAACAATGACATGTATTAAACAAATACGAGATCATTCTTTCCCATTCCCTCTTTTATTCTGTATGGCACAAGTACAATATTTTCAGAGGTTTCAAAAACGAAATTAACAATATGAGCGACGTCCATGTAAGTAAAGAATCTTTTAAACCAATGACTAACAATTTTAACGTGTTCGAGCACATTGTCCTAGTTAGCACAAAACATGCTACTTTACAAGTCACGTGACGGAATTTAGTATTCACAGAGTTACCTGAGGTAAGAAATCACGTGGTGAATTATAATATTCAACATGTCACAGCCCTTGGTTACAATAGAGAAAGCGAATGTAAAAAGAAGCAGTTTTTTCTCGTTTAAACCAGTAGCGCATGTTTGTCTATTAATCTCCTTTTGACACAACATTGTTAATGCAATTATACAACTACTGTTAAACGGAGGACAATAGACAAACATGCGCTGACTATGTATAAAGTCAGTGAAAAAGTGGGCGTCCTCATTATCGTACGGAGATTCAAGGAATTGTGATGACCCCCGCCTTAGAAAACAGCTTCGTACTTCGTAAATACGTACTTTTATTTAATGTAATTACATAAAGTTGTAGATTAGATGTTGACCATTCGTGCAATTAAAAGAAAAATGCTTGTTTTGAAAGTTTATTTTGTCGCAATTT